CACAAAAAGCAGCAGGAGTGTTCAGATTCAATATCAGAAACATGAGGAGAGAATTAATAATGCAGAGCATATGTAGATAACATGATTTCAAATGGCTGTCACTTGTAGACTTGTATCCCCTCAGACTGAGAGGAACTAATAAAATCTTAGAGGGAAACTTGTCCTACAGAGAAGGATCTTGCCAAAACTGTGTTTTGCTGTAGTTGCCACGGCAAGAATACACTTTTTTTATATTCGTAGTAATAATACATTAGGGAAGTTCTACATTCAGTACAATATATTAATGTATTTTGACTAGCTCTTTAAAAACTGGTATCTAGATAGCACAATGCTTTGCACTTCCAGGTTTGACACACAGGAAATATAGTAAACACACAAGATGGCAAGGGAATATATTTTATTGCCCAACTACTATTGGTGAAAAAAACAAACTTTTGAGTAAGGATGTTATTAGGTGGATAATCCACTAATCGTGTAGTCAATCAAATTTTTATCAAGTACATGATTAGTTGATAATGGAAGGCTTCTGCAGTTTTAATGTAGTAAGAGCTGGGCACAGAGGCACCCCGGCTCCTACTATATTTAAACTGAAGAACTGCAGAGGTGCGGCGGGGGGCAGGCTCCAGACCTGGTGTGAGCCAGTACTGAGCTGGACATGCTCAGTCCCGGTTCATGCTGGGTCCAGCAGCCTCTGGTCATGGAGGCCAGTGATGGCCGTGGGCAGGGGCTGCTCCAGCAGCAGCTCCTGTTTGCTGTCAGTTCCAGCCACTGTGGACAGAGGCTGCTCTGGCCATAGACCCTGTTTGTGGCCAGCCTGGACTATTGTGAGCAGAGGCTGTTCTGCAGGAAAAGGCAGCAGCACAGAGGCGGCAGCAAGGGGGAGAGCAAGTAGTCGAGTAGTCAGCTCAACAACTCACTAAGCCTAGGCTTATTGGGTAGTTGACTACTGGACTACTTGCTTACATCCTTACTTTTGAGCTTTCATGAACAAAAGTGGGTCCGGTAAAAGATAGCCCCTCACACACCTGTGTTTGGAATATCCTTGGACAAACATAGCTCCAACACTGCAAGCACATAAGCAGCATCACATACAATATTGATAACTATTGCTATCTTGTATAGTGAGCCATGTTTATGGGCCTTTTCTTCTGTTACATAAAACATTGCCTAGTACCTTTCTAATCCTGACAGCGAATAAAGGCCTGATTCTCTACTGCACAGCTTGCATATCTTTTAACGCCTATGCAAAGCAAGAGCAAAATATGTGCAAAACACCATCCAGGGTACATCTAAACTACATCCCTTTTTTGATAAAGGGATATAAATTAGACGTATTGAAATTGTAAATGAAGCCAGGATTTGAATTTCCCCCGCTACATTTACATAATGGCGACCACAGCTTTTTTTTGAAAAAAACGCAGTCAAGACAGGGATCGTTTGGTTGTTTAGGGATTGTTCGACAGAAATACCCCTCAGGTTACAGGATCTTTCGAAACGGAGCATTTCTGTTGAACGATCCCTGTCTTGACTGCGGGTTTTGTTTCAAAAAGCGGCTTTTCAAAAAAAGCCCTGGCCGCTATTATGTAAATGAAGCATAGGAAATTCAAATCCTGGCTTCATTTACAGTTTCGATACATCTAATTTACATCCCTTTATTGAAAAAAGGATGTAGTTTAGATGTACCCCCGATTAGAATTCTTCATTCATATGAACTGGTGACAGCATTTTATACGTATTTTTCATTGACTTTGTATCATCTTGAAGATGTAAGGCAGAATAGAATCAGGGCCTAAGTACTGTCATCCTCGTGATGTAAAAGGGTTAGTTACAACTGAGATGCTGTACTTGGGGTTTCTTGATTTTCTACCACACTCTTAATGATACTTTACAATAGGAGTAATAGTTTGGCTTACTTGGACACAAATGTAAATGTAGTATATTAAGGGGAAAAGTCACTGACATGCAATAGTATTAGACCAAGACCATAGGCAAATTCCTGGCTCCAATCAAGTCAATTGGGCTTTGATGTTTATATTAGAAGGGACAGGAAAAACACAAGAAATGCTCAGAGGTATTTCCATTTTCTTTTTCTGGGAACTGTACAGCACTGAGCATATGTAAAAGTCCTTGAAGGAGGAAGCCACACACATTTGCTGAGCTGTGGTCAGAGGTGAATGTAACATTACGTTACATTTAGCAAATAAGGCAATCCTCCAACAAATAAACAGAAGGAAGAAGAAAAACATGAGTTCCTTAGCAAGACTTTGAGCAGAGTCAAAGAACAAGTAGTTTAGAGGAGAATAAAATGCATTGGCTTCTTCCCTATTTATAGATAAAGCACTATGCTATTGTGTGTGCAAACTATTACTGGTATTATGCAAACAGTACAACAGGATTCTTTGTGAATGCCTGTATTAAGATTATCTGCTTTGTCTTCTCTCACAACACACACACACACATACCAAAACTCATGCAGCTCTCTGAGATATGAAAGGAAATACCATACAGTATGCTCCCATTTATCCAAAACCCCACATTATCCTAAACCCTTCCTTGTCTCCCAGAATGAGACACAATGGAGTACAGACCCTTGCCGGGACTGGGAGGTAGAAGGACGAGAGTCCCTGACCACCCTGGTACTGAGCATTTCCTGTGGCAGCAGAGGAAGCCCTCTGCAGCCCCACTGTCACTGGAGTGAGCAAGCAGGCTACGACAAGGGAGCTGAGGATGGCTTCATGCAAAGCTGCAAGGCCAGTGACACATGATCTTCAAGCACAAGGTGCAGGAAAGGCTGTAGACCTGGTTGGGCGGTGCAAAGTGTGGCCAGAGGTCTGTGTTCTGTCCCTTCAGTGCCACAGCCTCCTCACTATATCTTACACATGCAGAGACAATGTGTCAGTGTTCCTAAGGCAGTGCAGAGAATCCTTTTTAGCCCCAATGTCATGTCAGCAGGTCAGAGCAGTAAGTCTCAGCCAAGATTGCAAGGAAGATGACAATGATAATGAAGCCCCGGCTGTGGTACCCTGCTACCAAATTGATCCTACCTGCTCAGTAAACAGAACTCTTGATTATCCTAATAAAACCCATAGTCCCCATGCTATTTGGATAACCAATAGTATTACATGACACAACTGAAAGTGAGATAGACTTTCCCTGCACAAACACAAACAGGTCTTTCTGAAAGATCAAGCGGTGTGGTCTGTAAGTATAACATTGTAATAAGATAAAATATAGTAAACTGGCCTGCAATTCAATATTCCTAACTAGTTTTCTTTTTTTTTCTAGTTACTGTAAGTGAAAGAGATAAAATATAGTAAACTGGCCTGAAATTCAATAATCCTAACTAGTTTTCTTTTTTTTTTTCTAGTTACTGTAAGTGAAATCAAGGGCATTCTGTGCAAGAAAATGCCTTGATTTAAATTGAATTTATGCTTGCACATTGGGAGGCAAAATTTAATCTTGTGGTGATGGCCTTGATAGGCTCACAAAAAAGGTGAAGTCAACAATTCACTCTTTGTAAACCATGAATATCAGAAGGCTTTTACAATTATCATTAATTCATGCCCACAAGAAAGTCTTATAACTAAGTGCTAAAGCCTGCGCAGAGATGCAATGCATACAGCTCCCTTCTGATGCACATGTGAGCACTGAGCATGTTCCTCAAGGCAGAATACAACCACAATCTTGCCACAATCCTACAGAAATGATGCAAGATCTTTTACATTAAGAGCACAAGAAGGAACAGCCTATTTACCTCGTTGCAAATTCTCTTTGCCATGCTAAATTAAACAGAACAACAGAGACAAATGGTACATGAGAAAGAGTTCAAAAATGGCCATGAGGAAAGAAAATCACTATCAATTCACTAGCACTAAATTACAACAGAATACTTACGGAAATAAACCAAAGATCCACACGCATGCCAAATGAATTTCTTATCAGCAGTACCATAAGAAAATATACTAGCATGAATCCATGAAGCTGAGGCACTTAAAATGAAGGATAACAATTTAAATGTCCAGCCATTAGTTTTGTTTGAAACCCATTTTAATTGCACCCTTCGTTATGAATTAATTTCACCATGATTTAGATACATGACGTGCTTCCATTTATAATCTAGTGTTAGTTAAATTCCAGTAAAAAGATACTTAAAATCACAAGCTATCAAAAACAACTGTTATACACATGATGGCTTTATAATGGCAAGTTTGTGTGTGTGTGCATGTGCGTGTGTGAGAGAGAGTGAGGTTTTCTAAAATGTACTTTCTATGCCATTTTAAGAGAGTGAGGAGGTTTTCTAAAATGTACTTTCTATGCCATTTTACTGATACCGTAGAAAACTTGCTGCAATAACTAGTATTTCTGCTTGCATCAAGGATACATTTTAGACACAGCTTGTTCAAATCTAATGTTTACACATCAGCATGGTACTGTATCAGATGAGTTGTAGAGCTAAAGGATAACCTAGTGACAGGACTTAGTAATAAAGCTATATGGCTGTCTTGTACAGCCATGATATTTAGCAGCTCCCTACCCCACTATGTGCAAGGCAGCAGGTTGCACACAATATCCCAGCTTTATCTAAAGCTAAGGTTAACTGAAGAAATCAATGGGCCAGATCATCTCTTACTCATGCAAAGGTCTCACTGAGTTATGTCTCAGTCTAGACTGCAGGATGTGGCCCTCAAGTAATTTACTTATTGCCTATATTGAGCCATCCTTCAATCAAAGCCATCTTGTTCAATGACTGGACTCCCTTCTTGGAAACACAGAATTGACAGAACTCTCATTACAAAAACGGGTTTAAGTAACAAGCAAAAGCATAGGCTGAGTCTCCTAGGATAACAATCACAATTACATATTGGTCTACCTCTCGGTAAACTTTCACGAGCAACCACAAGAAGATTTAAATAAGATAACATTACACGTGTTGAATTATTCATATAATTTTGAACTCCAGCAGAGGTGGTAATTAAGTGACATTTTCACTCACAGCCTACCTGGGGTGTTCAGCAGCCTTGACATCTTGCAGGAGTAGGAGATGTACTGTTCACAGTATTCAGCACTACTAGTGATAGCAGAGATCTGATCCATGGTGGCACTGTAATTCAGTTGCAATACAGAGTACTTTTCTGGGCTGTGGCCTATCACAGGAGTCTGCATCTGTAGATCATGGTACACCGTTGACCACACTTTATCCTCTGGAAAAGAAAAAAAAGAAAGTAAAGAAAGTATTAATGAACAAAAAACATTGGAACTGAGTTACTGAAATTGTAGATGGTCGTTTCTGTGACCATGCATGTGTGCATGCATGAGAGGGATGAGAACAAATGAGGCTTTCACAAATGAGGATTATTTTATTTGAAATTGATCAACAACATGGGGAAACTTGAATGTACTGAATGTAGAAAACCTTTGTTAGTCTCCTTGTTCCTTAGTGTCACTGTGCTGGGTGCTTTGTAAGAGCTACACACTTTACCTGTGGGTGAAGACTGCCCTGAGCATCTGATAGTCATAGTGACCCCTGTGACAAATAAAGATTAGCTTTGATCAGAAGTGGATGAAAATAACACGATGTTACAGAGACCTAGGGATTCTTACTACAAGGAAAACATCAAGTTTATATGGTACTGCTGCATTCCAGGCTGCTTGTGTATACAAAATGCAGTATTATTTTGTGACACTGTGACATCAGAGGCACACTACAATAAAATGTGATTATATATATAATAACATTTGATGTTACAGGAGTTAATGATTTCATACAGTCTGTTAGTCCTGCGCTATAGCCCAAATGACCCAAGATTGTCTTTGCTCTGGACTTGAAGTTTTCTGAGCATTTGGTGACTATGACATAGAATTGAAAAGTAAAGCAGGATAAAAGTAGGACAAATTTAGTTATATTCACAGCTTAAGCAGGGATGTGAGGAAACGGCCAGGGGGACTGGGTTGGGGTTGGGGATGGGGATGGTGGTAGAAGAAACTCTAATCTTTGGTTCAGAGAAACACAGCATCTTCAGACAGGTTGTATCTAAACAAGATTATTAGTACACTTACATAGGGATCATGAATGCTATATTCTACTTACTACTTATACATTTAGCCACAACTAGTTAGTTGAATATCAAAGGGTATGTCTACACAGCAAAGTTATTTTGAAATAACAGCCGTTATTTTGAAATAACTTTACTAGCGTCTACACAGCCAAACCGTTATTTCAAAATTAATTTGAAATAGCAGAGCACTTATTTCGAATTTGGTAAATCTCATTCCATTAGGAATAATGCCAAATTCGAAATAGCTATTTTGAAATAAGTGCTGTGTAGACACTTATTTCGAAATAGGGGGCCTCCAGCCTTCCCAGAATGCCCTGGTGGCCACTCCAGCCTCAACCAAAAACACTCCTCTCCTTTCCCTATTCCAAGGGGCTTTAAAGGGGTTGACTCTGGCCACAGTGCCAATGTCAGCTACAAGCCTGCTGGCCCAGAGCCAGCAGTCACTGCCCCTGACCCCAAGGCTCCCTAGTTCTTATATTATGGGAACAAGTAAATACATTTTCTTTATTCACCCTCTCCACACCACTCATAATTTTATATACCTCTATCATAATCCTCCGCAGTCTCCTCTTTTCTAAACTGAAAAGTCCCAGTCTCTTTAGCCTTTCCTCAGATGGGACCCGTTCTAAACCCCTCATCATTTTAGTTGCCCTTTTCTGAACCCTTTCCAAGGCCAAAATATCTTTTTTGAGGTGAGGAGACCATGTCTGTACACTGTACTGAAGATATGGTGTATCATAGTTTTATACTCCCGCTCCCCCTTCTTCCCTTTGCTTCCCCCTTCCAGCTCCCTCCTCCCAGGTGTCCCCCCCCCACCACCACCCTCTGTCTTCTCCTCTCCCGCCTCCTTTCCCCAGTCTCACCAGAGTTTCATTCTTCCCCCCCCCCAGTTTTGTTAAATAAAGAGAGTTTGTGCTCATGAAAATATGTGTATTTTATTTGACATCAGGAAGGGGGGTTAGAGAGGGGAAGTGGAAGGACGTGACGGAGGAATGAGGCACAAGCCCCCAGTGGGGCAAACCAGGGAAGCTCTTAGTGCTCCTCAGGGTAGAAGCTGTCCCGCAGGGCCTCCTGGATACTGACAGCCCCCCGATGGACCTCCCAGATGGCAGCCTGCAGAAAGTTCAGCCAGGCTCACAGCAACATGTCCACGAGAAACACCAGAGTGTCGTGGGGCAGGTCTGGCTCCATGTTGCAGAGTGCTGTGGTGTCCCAAGGGGCTAAGGGGGGCAAGGCGGTGATGTGCGGTGTGACAGCAGCTCCAGGCCCTGCCCTCTGGCCATGAATGTCACCACCCTGCCCCCCTTCACCTCCCACCATGGCGCTCAGACGACTTCTGTGCTGCTCAGACAGGCTGCCACGGGAGCAAGTGGAGCAAGCGGCCATTTGGGCTCCCCCGCGGTGGCCTGGCTGAGCAGCTCAGAAGCCAGCCGAGCGCCACGGTGGAAGGCGAAGAGGGGCGGGGCAGCGATGTGTGGTGTGACAGTGGCTCCAGGCTCTGCCCCTGGCCATGAATCCCTCCTCACTTCACCTCCTGCAGTTGCACTTGGCTGACCTCTGCGCTGCTCAGCCGGGCTGCCACGTGGGAGCAAGTGGTGCAAACAACCATTTGGGCTCCGCAGTCCCCCAAGTGAGAGGCAGGAGGGGGAGGAAAAGAGAAAGAGAGAGACAGAGAGAGAGGCAGGAGGCAGAGGAGAGCTGAGAGAGAGAGAGGGTGAGGCAGTAGGAGGAGGAGAGAGAGAAAGAGAGATGGAGCAAGAGACCGGAGGCTCAGGAGAGAAAACCAACGTGGAGGAGAGACCTGAAAATCCCATCTTATGATGGGCTAATTGGCTAGTTTCGAAATAAGCTATTTTAAAACAAGATACTTAAAAATAATGCTGTAGTGTAGACATACCTAAATGGTATAGAACAGGTAATGATGCACTCTTATTTACCTTCTCTCAGTGGGACATTCAATGCAACTGAAAGGTAACAAATTTAAAAGTCCTCAAAAAAAAGTTTGCACAAAGTTCTGTGAACAAAACCCATTAAGGTTCCAACATCTCTAGTAGTGACTGTTTTACTATTCAACTGCTATTCTGTGACTTAGGTAAGATGAATTGGTTGTTTTAGTCAAGCCCCAATTGGGCAGCTACCAACATCAGAAAACACTATCACAGTTGACATTTATTAGTAGACTTGTCAATCTACACACAACTGGCAAGGACTAAAATAGACAAGGAGATTAATCTACTATTGCTAGAGGTGATTCCTCTAGGTCAGGGTTGAGGAGAAACGAAAGGCAAAATATTTCTATTCTATTTGGATATTTATATAGTATTCATCACTGCAGCACGAGTGCATTAAGAGATGTAACTTGTCATGTGTAATTTAGTTGAGTGCTTTCCAAAAGTGCATTAAGAGATGTAACTTGTCATGTGTAATTTAGTTTTTCTCCTCAAGGAAAAAATTGACCTCATATTATTTTATTTCTATTTATTTTCTCTCTGCCATGCTATGTACTATTCTTATTGAAGCCCAAGTCAAAGAAATGAGTCTTGCATTTGGAGTGGAGAGTGCTGTGGTTTGAGGCAATTATTAGATTCTGTGAGAGTTTGTTCCTGACTCTTGGATTGGTCCCTAGAAAGCTCCATGCCCTGAGCAGACTAGATAGATAAATGGAGTGGACTTTGTGTCTGAGAAGCAGAGCTGATGATCCAGATGGTCCTTGTCTAATAGAGTCAAGTAAAAATTGGCACTGCTGCTGCCTATGCTGAACCTGTTCTCTGCATAAATACAAGTCTTTAGTCTCCAGAGAAGTCATCTGCCATTCCCCATAAATACAGTATTCACTTAACAGATTTATTAAACAGAATATATTTTAAATATAGGAGTCTATAGAAATATGTTTGTGATTCATCTGTGAAAATTCCATCCCTATTAATGGAATTCCTGTAGGTAAATTCAACATGTGAGGCACCGTGTTATTTAAAGATTACCTGAACCATCTGAAAATATTTTGAGCAGTTAGGGCTCATTCTAAAACCTCCTAAAGTCCATGGAAAGGCTCTTATTGATATCAGTGGGCCTTGGGTAAGCGCCATAGTAATATATTATCATTTACATCATTACACAGTGTCAGGCTATTTTGGATTATGTGGCATCATGTGAAGCTATATATGCGTGTAACTGATATGGTGTAACAGGCTCTAATCAAATGATGAAGAATAAGCTTAGGTACAGCATATGGATCCTCCACAGAGAACACAAGTGGCTAGCCAAGTTAGATGCAGGTGATGTAAGACAGTGATTCTCTTATTAATATCGGTAGGTCATATCAAATACAATACTACTCTTGCACCAGAAATTATGGTTCCAATATCTGAATATTTATTTCCAGAAAAGTCAGAGAGACTTTTTTTTCCTTATACTAAGGAGACTTTTATCTATTTCCTATGCCAAAATTTAGGCATTCCACAAGGGAATGTCTTATACTGTGTTTTCACTGATAGGAATGTCTAATCTCTGGCACAAAGGACTATATATACAGTGTTTTACTAGGGTTCTGAGATATTATATGCCCTAGCAGCACTCCAGCTACACTGGTTCGGATGGCCTCTCAAGAGGGACCTGGTCCAACTCCAGTTAAACATGGGTGCTAGAACTAGGAGCGCTACTGCACCCCTGGCATGTGATATACAGAGCTTCCAGATTGA